GCCTGCGCCACCCCACCCCCCCCCCAGGATCTGCCCCGGCCCCACGGCCTTGGCCACCCCCACCCGGCCTGTGCCCTGCCCCCTTCCCACGCCTCGGGCACCTGGACGATCTGGACTGCGCATCCGCCGCGGACTGGATCACTGCCACGTACACCGTCGTCCTGGTCGCCACCGTCAGAGCCCTGGAGCAAGCAGGGGGGAGGCTGGTACATGGGCCATGCCCCACGCCCGCAGCCCCAGGGAGCCCCAGTCTAGCTGCCTCAGCCCTCCACTCGCAGGCCCGGGGGTGGGTAGAGACGTGCCACTTGCCAGAGCCAGGTGGGGGCATCCGGTTCTCCCCTCCAATGTCACGGGTCAAAGCTGGTCCCGAGCGGGAGCACACCTGGGCACATGGTGCCCCGGGGGCCTTCCCCACCAGCCAGCAGCACCAGGCGGCTTGGGCATTCAGGGCCCCGCCGGTGCAGCCCGTGGCTCACGCAGCAAGGGGGCGGGGAGCTGCAGGGCTGATGGGAAGGTGGGACTGGAATAGCGGGGGGAGGTGGGCACTGAGCCTGCCACATGGTCCTGGACACCACCGGTCCCCTTAGGGGTGCACACCGCCGTGTCGTCTGCACACGTGCGGGTGCACATGGCCGGTCAGGTGACTGTGACACCCCGCCCTGTCTGCGCCCAGGGACCCCTCACGCTTTGATCCTGTCCGAGTTCTCCTGCACTTCGTTCACGGAGGTCGAGAACACCAGCCTGACCCGGTAGCTCTGGTCCACGGTGAAGATCTGCAGTGGGGGGAGGGAGAGCTGGTGGGTGAGCCAGGCCGGGTGTGGGCATGGTGCCGTGCCCAGCGCTGGCTGCAGAGAGGGCCGGGAGCGTACTCACGTCCAGCACGGCCGAGGAGTTGAGCGACGGCGTCCCGCTGTCTTTGGCCTCCACCGTCACCTGGTACCGGCCCTTTAACGACCCATCCAGGTTGCTTGCAACTCTGTCAGGACAGCAGGGTGTTCAGACGCTCCCCACCCAACCCAGCTACCTCTGCCCCACTGCCCACCCAACCCAGCTCTGTCCCTGCCCCACTGCCCCCAGGCCCAGCTACCCCTGCCCCGCTGCCCCCCAGGCCCAGCTCTCTCCCTGCCCCGCTGCCCCCCAGGCCCAGCTCTCTCCCTGCCCCGGCGTTACTGGATGCTGCCGACGTAGAGGTCCCCCTCGGCCGCTGTCGCCACCTTGAAGACACTGGTGAGAGTGTGGGAGGGCCCGTTGTCCTGGAGGAACAGGACTTTGGAGATGCTGAAGGTGATGGCTCCGCGTGGCCCCGAGTCGGCATCCCTGGCCTGCGACAGGAGACCGGGCATGTCATGGCCCCGCCGGCACATCCCCCTGCTCCGGGCTGCCCCCCCGCAAGCCCCCCAAGGGCAGCTGCCCCGGACCCGCAGCCTCCTCACCTTGACCACAGCCACCGGCAGATCCACGGGGGAGACCTCAGGGACCACAACTGCGAAGGAGACAGGGAAACGGCTCAGTCGCGGCCAGCGCTCGCCTCAGCTCACAACGGCACACGGCAGCTGCAGCCACCCTCTGCTGGAGCCCACTGGGCAAAACCGGGCACCTGCCGAGCTCACGGGGCTCCCGTGCCACCACTCGCATCCAGGGGCTGTACGTGACCGGCACCGACTGCTGCACGGTGGCACCAGGGCACCACCCGAGTCCTGCTCCACACCCCAGGCTCCCGGCCCTGGCAGCGGGGGCCGCGCCCCGCCCCTGCTCCCAAGGCTCAGGGCCCTGCCAGCGCTCAGGACAGGCCCCGCTGGCTGGCTGGGCGCAGGGCCCTGGCCTCACCCCCACGCAGGGCCCCCCAGCCCGCGCTCTCACCGAAGGTGTCGTTGATGCGCAGGAACTCCGGGCTGTTGTCGTTCACGTCACTGATCAGGATCCTCAGCGTTGCTGCGAAGGACACGGAAGCGAGAGCCCACGTCACAGATCAGGGGTCTCTGCGGCGCCCCCGCCCCCAGCCCCGCCCCACAGGACCTTCAAAACCTGCCTCCGTCCATGTGCACCGATCCCTGCTGCTGGGGCCAGGGCAGCCCGGATCACCCCCCACAGCCAGGGCTCCCACCCCGCTCCCCACGGCGCCCCTGCTGGGCGAGGCCAGGGCCAGAATATCCGGGTCACCCCCCTCAGCCAGCACCCCACTCCCCACAGCGCCCCCTGCTGGGCGAGGCCAGGGCCAGAGTATCCGGGATCACCCCCTCAGCCAGCACCCCACTCCCCACGGCGCCCCCTGCTGGGTGAGGCTGGGACAGCTAGCGTCGCGTGGGGGGCAGCGGGAGGCGAGGTTGTGGGGCCAGCCCCACCGTTGTTGCTGTAGGGGTTGCCCTCCTCGGTGTGTGTGTCCTCCACACGCAGGGCGATGGTCACGCGGTCGCAGGCCTCGTAGTCGAGCTGCGAGCTGTTGAGGAAGACGGAGCCGTTGGGCTCCAGGTAGAACCAGTCCTGGCACACGCGGCCCGCGGACCCTGTGCCCTTGTAGCAGGCCAGGCCCAGCTCCTGGAAGTGCAGCGAGTGGTTGGTGTCCAGGTCGGAGGCCTGCAGGGTGGTGAGCAGCCCTGGCTGGGCGTCCTCGGGCACGCTCACGTCCTGCGGCGAGGCCGGCTCCAGGGTGGGCGGCTCGTCGTTCACGTCCAGCACCTGCACCTGCACCGTGGAGGGCACCACATTGAGGGCGTCGCCGGTGCCCGTGTTCTCCGCCTGCACCGTCAGGGTGAAGCGCGCCGGACTGAGCCGGTCGTAGTCCAGCGCCACGTCGGGGTCCAGGGACAGGTTGCCCTGGTAGCGCCCCGGGCCCAGGCGGATGGAGCGCAGCAGGAAGTTGCTGGAGCCGCTGCTGCTGACCAACTGGAAGGAGATTCGGTGATGGACCTCGGTCTGGTCCGCGTCCTCCGCCTCCACGCTGCCCACGAAGGCGCCTGGGGACGGGGAAACCGGTGAGCGGCACCCCTGCCCTGCCGCCGGACTGACCACACCCACGCTGCCCCTCCCCGCCCCTGCCCTGCCGCCGGACTGACCACACCCACGCTGCCCCTGCCC